AAGATTGCGTATTTTTGGGTTCAACAATAGATAACAAATTGAAAATTTTATCTTCAAATGTAAAAGTTTCTTAATATTATTTACTAACTCGATGTAAAAGTTCTGAATACTTAAAAAATATTTAATTCGTCTTCATTAACATCTTTTAAATTGGCTTTCATTCCCAAATATACTTTGTGAGTTTTTATAAAATTTTGAGAATTTGTGTGATCCAATGAAAAATTATCCTTATTTCTAATAATAGAATTATTTATAAAATTTGAGCATAGGGCTTTTAACAAATTTAGTGTTTCTGGTTTCACCTAGAGGTCATCCAGAAGTCCAAACGCTTCTTTTAAACATTCTAAATTTGGTTTCCGGACACTTCTGGGAACAAACTAAGTCGGTGGCATTTCGAATTAGTACCCACTTTTTGTTTCTTTGCTTGAAAGTATTCCACAAAAGCTTGATCAACATTAGACGAGGATTTAGCAGTTTTCTAACGGGTTTGAGGATCGACAGTGCTAGTAGAATCTTCATTTGAAAGCACTTCTTGTCCAATTTCAATATTTTGTTCTTCATTGTCTTCTGTTATAAAGTCTCTTGGTCCTATGAAGCATCTTGTTGACTGTTTTTTTGACTTAACTGGCGTTTAGACGATTTAGAGGTAAGGGGTGGTAAGTTACTACCAGTAGATTTGACAGGGAGTTTCACATGGGGCAGAAAGAATTGCATATATTTTATGACGTAATTTGGTTAACTGAAAATGAAACAATCTATGTTTGGTTTTGAAAATAGAAATGAAAATGTTTCGGGGAAAAAAGTCAATTTTGAAGTTTTTAGAAAATTAATTATTGATTGTCAGGGGAGAATTGTCAAGGGGAATTTTGTAAGATGGTCTAGGATGGTTTTATGTAAAGATAAGAGATAAAGGGAAATATTGAAGGTTAAAGATTGTAATGAGATGGAGATTTGAATAAAGAACATAAAAAAAAGGTAAAAGGAAAATTTTATTTAAAATAAAGAGTAAACGAAAACTATACTCTGTTTTTAAACTAAGAGGAGCGATTTGAATTTAAGTTGGCAATTCTGTAGCCTTCTGATTGGTCAGATTACAGTCAGTTTCACACATTACTTTTTAGCATGAACATCAGCTAATAATCGATATTTTTGACAGTTCTGACATTTTATAATTTGATATCTCATCCATTACTTAGTTTTTTACTTTATTTTGTAAATAATAGTTCTTCAGTAAGCAATTGTATTGAAAATCTACAATTATGGATTCTTCTACACTGAGTACTATTAAAGGTAGCAATTCCTGAAAAGCCTTACAAGAAAGGGAAGACACCTTATTATTTTACATGCTGATTCTGAAGGTTTTGTAGAAAATGGATTATTGGTTTTTGAAGGTAAAAAGATGGGAGATTACCATGAAGAGATGAATTCCGAAGTATTTTAGAAAAAAATAATTTTATTACTGATTTTTTAAAACTAAAAATTGACGAATGTCTAACCAAAATGATTAAAATGTAACTAAATATTCAAGCAAATTTTATTTATTAGAATAGAATAAAACTATTTACAAAATAGTTATAACATTTAAAACACCATCTACTACTTTAGGGATAATCTTAATTTGGCACAATGAGTTAACATTACTTTCACAAAAAATATTTTAAAAATACTTAAAATTAATACATAGGTATGTATGAATAGTTCACTTTAAAAAATATATGTTGACATGTAGTGTTATGAAAATGTTGGTTCCAGTTTTCAAAACAAATTCTGACTCATAGGCCTGTACACTTTTGAATGCTTTTATTTGCCCTCTAGCGCATTAACACTAAATAAGCCATAATATCCACATTACTCATAGAAGAGATACCAGTTACTGTGTGATCCACTTGTCATTCACTGACTAACTTTTACTTTTTATACCTATAACAAATATATCCATAAAAATGTAAACAGATCTTTATATTTTATACTAACCTGGCTACATCTGTATATTCCATTAACAATTTTCTTAAATATTTAATATCCATTTTAAAAAGATCATAGTTATTCTCAAAAAGTCGATTTCAAAAGCAAGAAAAAAGTATTTCTGACATCAATCAACAACCATATTGACTTTAATTTGACAGTGACATTTCGTTTTAGACACACATTTCAGATCACAATAATGTGAAATTTGCGACCGTTGTCTGGGACCAATTAAAAAATTACTTCTATGACATTTAGTCCTTTCTTAACCGCTCATTGGCCGTTCGCCGACTAAGGCCGATAAAGATAATTATTTCATAAATTTTGAACACGACTATATTTCGAAACTCGCTCTTAGTAACAAATCTAGTTACTTTTTCCTGTGTAAATGCATCTTTTCAATTCGCTCCTCCTAGTTTAAAAACAGAGTATAGTAAGGCGAGATAGCAGTAATAAGGCAGGAGGCAGAACGATAGGAGTAAAAATAGATAGGTAGCAGAGGGAGATTAAAGCAGAAAGCAAGGCAAGATAGCAGAAATAAGGCAGGCGGTAGAACAATAGCAGTGTAAATAGGAGAGTAAGGAGAGGGAAGTGCAGACAAGGCTGAGAAGAAGAAGACGACAATAAAAAATAATATAATTTCTAAATTAATTTTTTTTTTAATTTTTAGTCTAAATTACAATACAGTGTGATCAAATCAAACATAGAGGGAATAGGTAAATTGATATTTGGAAGTGAAAAGTTAGAGATTTCGTAGGTGAGTTTATTTTTTTTTATTTATTTTTCTTTTCTTTTGATTATATAAATTATTGATAGTGAGAAATACAAATGAGAGAACCCAACCCAAAATTCTAATACAAATATAAGTGTTCATCATCTAATAAAAAATTTATGTAATTACTGAGCTAGCTATACTGGGTATTAAAAATAAATTATACATTTAAATTCTTATATGCATATCAGTTTATTGAGGTAGTATTCCTTCTTGGCAGCTGACCCGCTTTTTGGAGTGGATTTCTTTCGAACATATACCGTTTTTAAATTCGGGTGCCTAATTTATAATTATCGTTCTGTTTTTAGGTATTTGGGTACTGGCGCATCTATGGCCTCCCTTGTATTCTACTTTGTCTGGGGACACTCAACTGTATCTAATATAATCGCTTCAACTGTTTTTGCCATATGGAGAGCTCTTCATGCGAAATATATGCCATCACCGAATGAAAATATGTGGATTGAACATGGCACAACAGTTTGAAGAGCTCTGAAGTCTGCCTAACTGCGTTGGCAGCTTAGATAGTAAGCATATCTGAATGCAGCAGCTTCTGCTGGATTGTTGTACTTTAACTACTAACATTACCATTCAATTGTTTACTTTCAGTAATAGGGAATGTAGTGTTTGGATTACTGAATAGATTCGTTGAATCTTCTTCGGTGTTGTTCTTTCCATTAAGTACATCATGTGCACCAGTAGATTGTAGTCATCTTATGAGAAAATAAAATAAAAATACTCAAGTCATTACAGCAACATTTTAAATTATGTAATTGAAATTTAATATGAGATAATGTACTTTTTGCAGATACCAGTAACTGAAACCGAATGAAGTAAGATTGCCGAAGGTTTTCAGACCAGAAGGCAATTTTTAAATTATCTCGAAGATGTAGATGGATAGCACTTACGCATAATACCACCACATTTTTATCCAGTTGTTTGTAGTTTTTCACCAAAATATTATAAACAGCTTCTCTTTTATGACTGTTGCGGTAATAAGGATCTTTTTTGTTTCATAAGCATGGATATTGCCGATAAAGATCAATAAATTATGTCGGAAAGTCGTATTTAGATATAGCGATATTTACTAGTTCTGTCGATAAATTTTAGATTACTCTAAAAATTTTTAGTAGAGGTAAACAATTCTACTGTTTAAATGTTAGTTAAATATATGTTGCAAAATATAAAAATTTATCAACTCACCACTTTTGGATTCAGAAGTGAGAAATATTCAAAATAAACTGTCCGAAAAAAAAATGTTTTTGTAAGAAACTAAACACGTGTTACGGTTTTAATTTGCCATATTATGAAAATATTAGGGATGAGATTTTATCAGTCATATTCAACTAAATAATTATAAAAATCAGATAACAAACCTTATAAGTTTTCAAAACTGTTTGAACTAAGGCATTTTATTATTTTTATATAAAGGAGTCCTTTTTTCATACCAGAAAGGTTATGTTTACTTTCCGTCTTCTTCTCTTCGAATATATCAATCGCTGTCTATTTTCACTGTCATAATTCTTCTTTTATGGTATTGTTGATTCTGGTCACTTTCAGCAACACCAAAAATCTGTTTACCAGTACCTGCAATATTTGTACTGGTCGTTATGATCTTGCTATACTAAGCAAATTTGCTAGTTACTTAGATACTTGCAACCTATAGGTAAGTATATTATACACAGTGAGGACGTATAAGTTGGAATAAATTCAATATTTTTATTTTCAACTGCGCATCTTAGGGCCGATTCCACCGTTGTATTAAACAAAGTATACATTACTAAACGAAGATTAAAACGACATTTTTACATTAACAATACTCGTTTAATAATTTAAACTTAGTATAACATAACGGTGGAATCGGCTTTTACGCTACAACGTCATCGATATATTTTTTTTAAATTTAAATAAAACATTTTTTCTCTTCATTTTTGAATTCCTCGATAATAGATACATTTTTGTAAAAGTCTATTATTGGGGGATTCAAAAAAAATCGATGACGTCACGTACACGAAAGTGATGTTATAATTAGTATATCCAGTGATAGAGTAAGACGTGCAGTTTAAAATAAAAATTGTCCTGTGGAAGCATTTCGTTAAAATACTGTCTAGGCAGAAAAATATATTTATTCCAACCTGTACGACCTCACTGTACCTATACATATAGCAGAAACGGGTACCGATCTAAAAACAGTACAATAATTAGCTGGACGATGAGTGGTAATTATTATTCAGCTATTTGACAGATGCAGGTGAATCATCAAAACCTATAATTTTTTGTATAATGTGTCACTAGTCATACAAGATAACATTTTTCTTGTAGGTTTAAAAGTTATACATGCTTTCTTAGTCGCCTGGCTAGAAAGCAATAGTGCATCAACTGTATCACATCCTAGTTTATTACGTAAATCAGTCTTAATTAGATTACATTTGGAAAACGTTCTTTCACATTCAGCGTTTGAATGTGGATAGCATAGTAAATCAAGAGCAAAATTGGCTATATTTTCAAATTGATTTTCACCTAACAAATTTTTTACAGTACGTAACTCTGCACAAAATTGATCAATTTGCGTATTGACCATGGAATCAATTTCAGGGTGCGTTTTTATTATAAATAATGCTCGCCACTCATTGTTAAGCTGTTGTAATGAAAAGTTTTTAGACACTCTTGATATAGCATTTGCCAACTCAATTATTGATTGCGGTTTTATTTTTTTTTTTTTATTCAAAATACAAATGGATTTTAAAATAGGATCATTAAAATTAAAACGTTTTAATATTTCTGTGCAACAAGTTTTAAGAAAATTTCTACATCTCATAAGAAAATCTTTTTTTTCTTCTGCATTTAATTTACTTATGTGCTCAAGAACTCCTACACCTAAATAAATATTGGGTAAGGTTATAAATTGTTCCTCCCTTTCGGGATCTACAAGAAACAGCTCTGTTTGGTTTATATATTTTGGATCCATATGACATAATAATAAGTCTTTATATGTCGAACACATTTTAGGGTATACTTCAGTAATTATAACTTTATCACTTTGAAAATATTCATTTGATTGCACAATTTTTAGGAGAATCCAATTTAAGAAGTAAAAATATATTTTATTTAAAGGATTTCTTAGAGCATACAAAATATTTTCTGACGATAACATTCTATCCTCTAGGGAACTTCTTGTAAAATATAATTCTAAAGCTGACCACTGCTCTAGAATTCTTTTTACTACACTTAAAAGTGACAGCCATCTTGTTTGCGATGTTTTTAATATTTTGTGCGGCTCAACTTCGCAAAAGTGCTGACATTCTTCAAGTTCCCTTTGGCGTTTGGCACTGTTCTTAAAAAAGTTATAAATGTCACGTGTCATATCTTCACAAATTCTAGGTAATATTTTACAAGCCTGACTTACAACCAAATGTAAAGAATGACAAATACATTTATTATTATGCCTTTAAAGTTTTCCCTAAAGCGAGAAGAAACTGAGTTGTTTGTCCCCATCATGGTGTTACATCCGTCAGACCCAAACCCTATGATGTTTTCAAGTGGAACATTATGAGACAAAAATGCATTAATAAGAATGTTATACATATGTTCAGCGGTGGCACTAGTGTTGACATTCGTCTCGTCAAAAACATTTATTAACTTAAAAAAATTGGGATATGATTTTTTTTTTTTTTCATCAAAACATCTTACAACAATGCATAAACTACTTACTGTACCAATATCAGTACTTTCATCTATAAGTACACTAAATCTGCGTGTCGATATTTTTTCTGCTAAAGTTTGCCTTTCACGTGGAACAATTACATTTTTTACGATATTGGTTAATTTTGTTGTACTTAATGAGAGGTTTCCCGCAATTTTAGAGTCCAGAAAACAACGTTTTAAAACATCAGTCAAATGGCCAGATGCCAAGAAAGCCATGTTATGTTCTGCGAAAAAACCTGCTAATATTATTTCCGATTTTTTTGTCTGTTCAACGAGGATATTGTCACTCTGCGGCTTCAAAAACTGAGAAAGAAAATTGCTCGATTTACAGTCTAGTTTTGAGCTATTTTTAATATGTTTAGCGCTGTTTTGGTGGGCTTTTAATACAGAAACATCACATTTTAAGCGAGCGTCACAACATTTACATTTCGACACAAATCGGTTCTCTAAAAATAAAAAAGTAACTTAATTTATAAAACTTACCCTTTGCTACTTCATACCTTCTATATCAGTTATCTAAGGAAATTGTTTTTCTCATTCGGATCTGTACATTTGTTCAATTTTCTTTTTTTTTAGATGCTAAGGACCCTCTCTATTTTGTTTCATATCTCCTCATCGTCTGTATTATACGGCGAGTCATCATCGCTCATTGTATATGATTGGTTTGTATTAAATTGTTGAAAATTAAAAACAGTGAAACACCAATACTATAATTATTTTTTACAATACGAGACCCATAAATTCGCAAATTGTTTAATAATTAACGAACTACAAGCACGAATCACGCGGTGTATTGTATCGTAGGGATGCGCACGATGTATCGATGTTTAAAAAACATCGATTTTTCGGTTTCGATTATCGATGTTGTTTTATCCGATGTTATTAGTTAACATCGAGTTTTTTTTTATCCTATGTTATTTGTTAACATCGATTTTTCAATTAACATCGATGATTTTCTTTTGTTTTTTGTTAAGCGTCACGTTTCAGTTGATGGTTTGAATTCCTTTTTGTTAAACGTTATTCTTTTTTTTTTTCTTCAATGAACGTTTTTGGAAAACATCGATGTTTACAAACACATCTATATTTAGCAAAATCGATATTTTCTTTTCCGATTGTTTTAAAATATCGATAGTCTGTATTCGATGTATCATTTGATGTCAACATCGATGTTTTAAAAAAAATTGCGCATCCCTATAGTATCGTGACTTTGCATCACATTATGATCGTATCAACATGATCACTTGTGAAAGGTACTGGCAGCTGGCAGCCAGCGTTAGCTTTATGACGTGTTTTAGTAGAGATGTGACCATTCCTGTTACTTCTTAGTAGAGATGTGCAGAGTACTAGGTCATACTCGTATTAATATAATTAAATAAAAATCTACGCGTTAGAAATATGGTAGTAAAATGGTATCAGTAGCCAAAAAATAGTATAAAAATGGAAAATGGTATCCTCAAAAACTTGCAGGTATCGGAGTAGAAAAAATGGTATAAATACTATTATATTGAATGAGAGATGACACAACTAATTTTAAACATTTTTAAATTGGGATAATAGTTTTGTTTCATTGCGGCCCGTGAATTATGTCGACTCACGGTTCTCTCATTATTTTATTCTCTTCTACTTTCTTTTATTTAATTTAGCTTTTTTTTTGTTAGAGACTTATATTTCATAGATAAGTCAGTTGCTACATTTGAGACTGTCTACATATAAACACCAATAGTTTGTAGTTTTTAGTAAACCATTTTTAAAACGGAGTTAAAGTTATTATGAGTTTATTTGTGTTTTACTGTGGCCTACCCTCCTCTAATTTAAGGGTCTCAGTTGAATGGGGCTTTCAAAAAATATTGCAATTTGCTTTTTTGATTTCAACATAAATCAAAAACTTCTACTCCAGAAAGTCGGCACTATGTACATAACATGTATAATTTTAACGAACTGTCATACATGTTTGTACGGAAGTAAAGTAGACACATCAAGTAGGTCATCAAAAAGTTGTTGAAACGCTGTGTTTACTTGTTCCCTTTTTGTCTCAGAACACTCATTACGGTTTAAAAGCCGCTTTTCACGGAGCAATTTTGTTGCAAGTTTCATGCTATGCAAGTTTGCTGAAAGAAATTTGTAATTACTGCGCATGCCTACGGGCATGTTTGATGAAAGTTTCATGCCATAAAATAAATAGAACTTGTTCTATTTTTTGATAGTTTCCGTGCAAGTTTGACTCATTTTTATAGTGATTTTTGATATACCAACCTGAAAAAAAGTTACCAATGTTACCATTTTGTTTACTCTATTTCCTGGTTCTGTGTATTTCCTGTTTCATCTCCGCATCAACTGTTAATGGAAAAGTTTTTATATAAATCTACAGCGAACAAATTTACAATTTAAAACGCATCATTTAAGTTACAGGCTTTGTTATTGTTTGTCAGAGGTTATAATATTTAATCATGTCAACAAAATCGAAAAGGTAAAGAAATTAATAACTGTGACTAATAGGTTAGGTTATTAAAATGGGTACTTTTAATATATATATTTACCAAATATTTAGTTTTATACTAAGTATAGTGGTTTAAAAGACGCGGATTTATTTATTACTCCGCATATTTAAATATTTATTTTAATAAAAACAAATTATGTTGTGATTTACCTTATTTTTATTTTTTTTTAGTAAAAAACCACAAGTTTGGACTACGGAAAGTGCAAAGCACCTTATCTTTTTGTATGAAAACTTTCCGTGTCTATATGATATTAAAAGAAAAGATTACCACAATAGAAATGAAAGGCAAAAGGCGCTTCAATACATTTTAAAAGAAATGACTGACATGTATCCAAGTATGAAACTTTCACTAGATCAAGTAAAAACCAAAATTCATGGAATTCGTTCTCAGTATATTGCTGAATTAAATAAAATTAAAAAATCTGAGTCGACAGGTGTATTTCCAGATGATTTGTACACTCCCAAGCTTTGGTGTTTTGAAATGCTGGGATTCCTTTCTGATTCAGCTGTCATTACTTCTAGAGGAGAGTCTAATTTAAATTTGGAGGAAGTTCTTAAAGACCTTAAGGATTTATCCCAGGTTTATATAGAAGAGGAAGACACACAGCAAGATGAAGAAACACAGCAAGATGAAGAAACACAGCAAGATGAAGACACCCAGCAAGATGAAGATGAGGTATGTTACCAAATATTTGAAGAAGTAAATGAAATGGAGTCAGAAATGAGTTTTGACCAAGATGTCAGTGATGTTTCCGTTCCCTTTTCTCCTCCCTTATCGCGACCATCCTGTTCTACATCCCGAACACCAGCTTTAGTGTTCCGTCCTTCATCCCAACAATCCTTTTCAAAACAAAGAACTATACCTGAGTCCCAAACACCCAAATCTATTTTAAAACATAAAGATAATATAATTAAAAAAAAGAAAGATGAAGATATTATAATTAAAAAAAAGAAAGAGGAAGAAGATGATATAAAAAATCTACTAAAGGTTACTGGACAAGTAATTGCGAGTCAAAGAAGAGTAGCTCCTGACACACAAAAACCCTCAGAAAACCTTTTTTGCCAATATTTGGCAGCAGAAATGTCCAAGATTCAGGATTAAGATATATTGGATGATCTTAAAGAAAATATATCTGCTCAGTTGTTCCAAGCAAAAAAAAAATATAAATCTGCTAAAAAATAGATTTTATAAAATTATATTACTTTTCAACTAACATAAATTTAATTATAAAAAAATAAATCCTTGTTTTAATTTAATTAAATAATTTCATTTTGCCATGATACAGTCCCAACCGTGTTAAAATACTCTTTATACTCTTCTCTGTTATTTATTGCAATTTTCTTAGGTCTGTTCCCTGCTTGAGCACTTAAACCATTGAGTAAGGTGAATTTTCTATCTATTTCATTTTCAGGGTCAGCTCCCGTGTACTTATTTTGAAGTTCGTGTCTCAAAAAATTATGTAATGTACAGCAGGTCTTTGTTATTATTTTTACTTTTTGTGGCTTTAAAGCATTTACATTTAATAAAACTCGAAACCTATTAGCTAAAATTCCAAATGCATTTTCAACCACTCTTCGAGCTCTGCTCAAACGGTAGTTGAAAATTCTTTGTTCCTTAGTTATATTTCTTAATGGATAGGGTTTTAAAATGTGTTCACTTAAGGGAAATGCAGAGTCGGCTACAATGACAAAGGGTATTTTTTTTTCTCTGGAAGGAAGATTTCTGTCTTCGGGAAAGTTAAGAGCATTTTTATCGATGGCTTGGCTTAAATCACTATCTCTCAAAATTCCACCATCCGACATGCGGCCATTTACACCAACATTGATGTATAGAAAATTATATTGAGCATCAACTAGAGCTAGTAGCACAATACTATGCCCACCCTTATAATTATAGTATGTGGATCCTTCTTGAGATTGGGCTTTAATTAATATATGCTTTCCATCCAAAACCCCTAGACAGTTTGGATAATTCCAGTGGTCCTCAAATTGCCTAGCTATTTCTAACCATTCAGTTGTTGTATTTGGAACCTTACAAAAATAAAGAAATTTATAATCACAGTTGTAATGCAATATAAGGAATACCCACCTTTAGGTAGTCTGCTTTAAGTTCCTCAAAAATTGCAATACATACTATTGGTATAAAATTTGATATTGCTGTAAGCGATACTCTATAATTATATTGCAATGATGTAAAAGATTCTCCAGTAGCAAGATATCTTAGTGTGATGATAAGTTTATCTTTCGCAGGAATACATTCTCGCATATTGGTATTTTCTTTGGTAATTCTATGCTCTATTTTTTTTAATAATTTAATAAAAGTGGCCTCATTCATACGTAGAAAATTTTTAAAGCTTTTGATATCACTACAATCCTTAAACTCATTAACAATATTTAAATTTCCAAGTCTTCTATCCAGCCAAGGTTTCACCCAATGTGCTTTTGGCTTTCTTTTCTTGCGATTTGTCCTATTTCTACTGACTAATACACTTGCAATTGCGCATGTTAATAATAATAGATCAATTTGTGGAGGTGACATTATGAAAAAATACAATTATCAATAAACAAAAAAAGTGAGTTAAGTTTTACCAACAGAAAACAGAAGTCAAAATATTTGGGTTGGCAGAATTGTTTAAATAAGCAATATATCCCAACAAACTTGCACCATGAAAATGAAACGATTTTATAAATATGGTGCAATTTGGCCTTCTGCAAGATATGGCCGCAAACTTGCATAGCATGAAACTTGCAACAAAATTGCGCCGTGAAAAGCGGCCTTTAAGTATTCAAAAATTCTATAAAAAAATGGTTCTGATTTAAAGATTTCAAATTTTGTCAGTATATAATGCCAAAGAGGGAAAAAGATAAGCAAATAATATTAAAAAAAATATTTTGTTTATAAAAATGGAGTTTATTTTGAAAAAATGTGGCTTAACATGTTTTTGCTTAAACTAAACTCATTATAAAAATAACTGAAGAAATACAATACTACTGATCTAAGATTTCAACCTCTTCGTCTAAATCGTTAACAGCAACATTTAGTTGCGTATAAAATGAATGGTAGGCTGACGGTATATAAGGCAATAATATCTGTATATTTTTAATTTTTTTTCTGCAATTTTTACTGGCTCGTTGTATTTAAGTTTAATATTATTGCAGGTCTACCTTGTTTTAAAACATTAATTTCCCTGTACTCGCCATTGACTGTACTTTTAACGAAAAATGACCCAACATTTTCTGACTTAAAAAGGAAACTGTATGTTCCTGCCAATTCTAAATTCTGCTTGTCAGGAAAACGTGCTTTTTTGCTGATATTAGCTAGTAAAGACTCAAAAGAAAAAATTCTTGTTGGGTCATTTTTGTAACAACAAAAGGGTTTTTTATTTGCTTTTTCAATGATATCTAGTCAACCTTGTGGTAAATAAATAACTGGAACCCGCTGTCTCTGGCGTTTTTCGATCAGAGCAAAATCTCTGTCTGACGGCATAATGGAATGACCGCTAACAAGAAAGTGATGTGTTATTTTTTAAAACCTTTTTCTTTTACTAACTGCAACCAAGATGCCATCATCTGCCAGTTTTTATTCTGACCCGGGCAGTTATCAGTAAAAAGAACAAGTTCATCATAATCTAATTTAGTTTCTAAAAATTTCATTAGAACAAAAGTAACTTCATCAGCTCCGCGCTTAGCCTGATCTTCAGTTCACAAATACATGAATCCTTTCTTATTTGTGCAAACGGAAGTACGAGTCAGCCATCAGGCATTGAGAAACCATACCAGTTACTTCGGAGTGGTACTGGTGTAGCCAGCACCCCGAAAGAACGGACTTATAAGAATTACTTGAAAAACGTAGCTACTAGTTATCAAGTTGAATGACAGTGACGTTTACTTGGAAAAGGTTAAAAGAATGTCAACAAACAATATATTTAAATTTATTAGGTAAAATAGATGACCAAAAGAAATAAAGAATTAGAAATTAACGAGACTAGTGTACACTTTAAAGGTAGATAACACGATTAAACCAATGGCATTTATAATTGAAATACTATTAATTTATTTGTGATAAAAATGACTAAACGAATGGTATTTGTAACTGAAATACTATTTTATTAATTTGTGATAAAAAAAATCTTAAACGATAATCCATACAAATTTACTGTCTCACGTTCATTTAAATATGATTATTTTCGGCACATATGAACGTTACAGTCTGAAGACCGTGAACACTCAAGAATTCGGTTTTGTATATTTTTATATCCTCATCTCCTATATTAACCAAATAATCAGCGGTAAACTTTCTTCTGAAAACATTATTCTTTTGTTTTTTCTTGAATGACCTTTTCTTATTTTTTGCTCTTATACACCCAAAAAGATAGCTATTTTGGAGATCGAATGAACCCAAATCCCAAAATTTTGTAAACAGTTGTTCATGGTTATCTTGCAATTTCTCCCTGCATCTATTTTTACACTTGTAAGGAAAACCATTTTCACGCGGATTGATAATCTTCTTAGTTTTTGTCGCCGTATATTGATGTCCCGAATTGCGTCTCCTTTTTCTTTTGTTTCGTTCATGGTTTTCTTTATTCCGATGTCTCCATCTTGTCGGCTTCGGTTCCTCTGGAGACTCTTCTATACCCCTGCTAAGCCTAGTACAATGCTCTTGCGATTCATCCTAAAACACAATAAAATAAGAACTAAAATACTAATGCTGAAAAAAGTTTACGCAATAATATGTTAAGCCACATAGCATACCATGTTTTTGTATAAATTATTTACAAAATATTTTTACATAAGAACATGGTAAGCCAAAAAAAAAAGAAAATGTAGCATCAATTGTTCATGTTCGTATCTAACTACTAGATCTGAGAAATGATGAGATATAGGTAAGATAATAGGATGTTTTTTATGAAATGTTAGAAATTACCTACTCTAATAACATTGTTGTGCAAAAATGGCGATAAGGATAAAATTTTACTTTTTCTATGAACATTCCTTTTTTGTAATAAAGCATTGTATTCTTTTGGAAAGCATTCTATTTGAACTACTTTTACCAAGAATAGTAATGCATTATCAAGTTCATCTGGATTTAAAGCTCCAATAATTTTATTATTTTTTGTAAGGTTAAAAATATTATTTTTAAATCGTAAAATATAGGCTGTTACACGTAAAAGTTTTAAATAATTCGAACAACGATTAATCAAGGACGGTATACTATTAAAATCAAACAAATTCAACAGTACGGGTATTTGTATAAATAAATCTAAATCCTAATATTTATCCTAAAGAAATAACATTCACACCTCACCATTCATACGCAAAAATTAAAATTCTATACAAATACATAATTTATAGATTTCTTCTTAGAGTAGAAATACAAATTTACAGTCTGAAAACTCAATATCTCAGCGGATAGATAAGTAACAACTTCTAGTGTATTTTCCTCTTACTACTTGCTAGTAGATGGTGTATCACAATCTAAATAAATTTCTACATATTATCGAATACTAAAATACTAATGATGAAAATTAAAATATTCAAAGAAACCAGTTTAGTTTAAAAGTTTTATATTTAAACGACTTTTTATATTATTACTCTCTTTATTTTACGGATTAACATGGATTCTTTTCTACATTCATCATACAACCTTTTACAACATCAACCCTCTTGAAAAGAGAAAGAAAAAGGAAATCTTGTCTACTACTTGACATGACATATGTCATTCTTAGAATATTAGTTTTATGACAACTGACATGGTCTCTTTCCAATTAGGCAACAAACTAATCTTAACATAAATATATATAAAAAAGGTATTTAGCGTTTGATGATCAAATCTAACAAAAAGTCCTTTATTTTCATTAATATGTACATATTAAAATAATGGTAAAATGTAACAATGTGATGTATCAAACTCGCGAATTTTTTTGAGGTCCGGTACCTCTCCGTGGATTGATTCTTTGAGATTTGTCATCATCTCCCTATGATTAATAGTTACTCCTTCGATGACAATTGGTGGTATGGAGGTCTTTTTGACTTTAGCTGCCACTGGTGGTACTTTTTCAGTTCCCTTTGGGGTGTTTGGCTTTGTTCGTTTCCGTCTATTTTTGTCGTTTTCGTCGTCGTCACTGTCTTCGTCTTTTTCAGACTCATTAGTAAGAGCTTGATATTTATTTTTAGTCTTCAGGGTTGCTTTGACTTTTTGCTGAATTCGGTGCTTCAGCTTCTTAGTCTTTTTCGGGGTTTCGAATTTTGTGTTAGTTGGGGGTAGTTCGTACATCATCCCTTCTAAGATCGCTAGTTTTACTTAAGGTTCTGGCTTGATACTTTTTCTTGTCTTTTAATATTTCTGAGGTTTTTTCTGGCTCTACTTGTGATTTCTTCAGGATTTTTCTATCGATTTCTCTGACTTTGACTATAGGTCACTGTGCAGTCTTTCGTCGGACTATGTATTAGAAGGGAATTTTGAATTGTAGTTCTCCCATCTTCTATAATTGAAGGGTGGAGTCTTTTTTTCTAAGTATCTTGGCATTTTGTCCCATTTGTCTTCAAAAGGTTTAATATTGGCCACTGATTTTCTGTATAATTTTCTAACTTGATTCTATTAAATATATTAATGTGAATTGATATATGGTACAGATCTGTTCAATTGCTTGTATGTTCCCTGTGGTTGACATGTGGTGGTACTGGAGTGAAGCTGCGATTCCAACTCCTCGAGTGGAAACTGTCAGTGGGACTGCGCGGGATTGGGGCTGCTGAGCCATCCTTTCTAATGCTTCGTATATTGCCGATCCTTGAGCATACTTGTTACGGAACGCCTCCTGTCGTTCGTTTTGTATTTTCTGGCCTACTTTCTCACGCCATTGCTCCTCCTTCTTCTTACGCGATCCGCGTCCTCTACGCGAATTGCTGTTCGACTTCTTATCTCCTTCACTTGAGATGGTAGTACTTGGAAAATCAGTTTTGGATTCCATTGTATGAAATACAGGTGAAAACTCGATGAAACACACCGAATATTCGAAAGATTTAAATATAAAAAGTATTTACGAACTTAGCATTAAAAACATGATAGGAACAATGAGTCTAAATAAAAATATCGAAATTATTTTCTTTATTTAGATAATGTCCATAATTCAAATATTAGATTTGAAAATTTCATTAAAATTGTTTCGGAAATCTAAACAATTATCGTAAAAACGAGACAACTCTAGATTATAAGTGCAAGTATGTGCGATTGGTTTTCTTTGAATTCCAGTCAAATTATTAAAACTAATCTGGATAGTCGAGACAACGATATTAGATCCGGTAGAAAATCTTAATAAATTTTCCCTTATTTTCATGTCACATTCTCTAACGTATTTTTTGAAAAAAATAAAAACGATTTGGTCCGATTCCTCACAAATGTCACTAAACCGTAACTTGGCTATAACATTTTTGACTGTCGGCACGCACTTAGAATACAAATTATAAGTCGATATCACAGATCCTTAGTTTGAAACATAGGGAAATAAATTACGGTTTTTGAATTATTTCTGTGAACTATGTCTTTTAATAGCTGCTTAATATTGCTATCGCTAGGCAATTATAGCTGTCGAGTATTTTAAGCAGCTCATCAACATCAACTTCACAAAAATTATTATACGCACGTTTTAGGATTGTCCGCTTCTGAGTCAGGTACGTAACTCATAAAGGTATCTAATAACTCTGTCTCATCCACATGGACATCAAATATATTTTTCACAAACGACGCAGCCAATTTAAGAGGGAAATAGTTTTCCTCTCTATACCCTTTAACCATGATATCTGCTCTGGCTTTGAAGGACACCGGCATGGTACGTGTGAACTTAAGACTCTTAATTTTTATTTAGGATTAGGTTTCTTTTAAATTTAAGTAAATCCAAACACCGAGTAAGTCAAAATTAAAATTTTAATTAAACAAAAGATAGAAATAGCGTGGAACAAATTACAAAAAAAATAAAAGTGCTGAATAATAGGTAACAAAAAAAAATAGTTAATACAAAGTTTATAGAGGGGTGTTTTGCGTAACCGTTAAACAGTCAGATTGACGTAACTTAATTAAACGCGCCAAAAAAAGTTAATTTCATAAATACCTTAATACGTTGGCACTATGCGAATACTATGACACAAACTAGACTAAATTTTAATTAGTCTTGACAATCTCTTGGCAACTCCTCTGGAATCATTCAATAACAAATATGCAAAAAAAACACTGGTCACTCTTGACCATAAACTCAGGTTAATAATCCACACAGGGTAGGTAACCTGCCGGAAACGTGACAATTCTCGATGAAGGGTCAAATTCTCTCTCATCTTCCGGATCACCAATCTCCTCTCGCCGTTCCTGCGGCGGGTAGGATAGGACCATCTCGTACTGTCTTACGTCATCACACTCGCGAGTTTTCCAATTTTTCTGATAACTGAGATAGCTGTAATCGATAAGAATAGCTAGATATAGTCTTGATAACAATTGACCAATTGCTATCATATCATTGTGCTTATGTCAAATATATTTAATTATCTAACTAGTTTGATGTGTTTTTTTATTATCCAAGTTAACATTCACTTTGAATATCAACTCCTTTTTCATGAATAACGTAGGTGTAGGCAACACATTATACACTACTTATGACACATTTTCAGTTTTACATATATATTTCTTGAAATAATGTGATCGTAGAAAAAATCTTGTGTTCACTTTGAGCGAAAGGTTCGTGGCCGCTTTCAACATATTGTCGCGCTCCGCTACGCGTCACCAGGGCCGTATCTAGGCACCCTTTTGGGGGGGGGGGGAGAAGATAAAAAATACAACTAAATTTTGGTTATATGTATTAAGTATAAATAGCTTTAACATATTAAATATGCAACCTACTAGGTAAATTAAAAAATTAAAATAAAATACTAATTTAAACTATTAGGTTATACCTACCGGAGCCACAATAGACCCATCTAGGTCGCAGTGGAAGGCGATGAGATCATCCCACTCATTTTCAACCTAACCTATACCTTAACTTACAAAACATATTACTTAAAAAATAGGAAGAAAAATACCTTACTTAAAAAATATAAACGAAAGCAGTTTAAAGATATACCTAAAAAATATAAACAAAATAACGAAAAAATTATATTTAATGACCTCTGTAGCAACTTTTAGTACTACTTGGTTTGAACCCTCAGTCTTCTACCTTTTAATTTGGTCCAAGACTCGATCACATCTTTCAGTCCTATGCTATCGGTTATTTCGCGCTCGCTTTTTAGGCCTAATTAAGGAATCTAACCGATGCACAGTGGGCTAACTCGCAGCAAAACCTGGTAAAAAAAGTTGCGATTTTAAATTTTAGTTTCATGAAATTTCGCTTAGAAGACATCAGTGAATACTAGTCCAACACTTTGGTGGCATTCCATTCCCTAATCTGGATGATACGTGTCGTGATAGTCGAGTAAACACACGGCGTCGATAACAGCGGTATTTTAACTGACATTTAGCGCATTGTTTTACATTATTGAAAGTGATCAAATCGAGTTCTTCTGTTTACATACGATGGATAGTACACCAAAAGGTAAGTTATCACATTTATAACCATTTTAAAAAATTATTTTGACTTTAAATGGAAGTATATTTTAACATGTATCCCGTAACACCCAAATTCTCACAAATCATAGGCTACAAAATATTCCCCACGTTTCTCCACTTTGTAAAATGGCTCTCCTACATCCTTAATAATGTAGCTGACGAGTTCAAAAGAAATCGCTTGCGCATATTTGCGCCATTTCAGTAAACGATAGTTTTTCTTACGCGTGGAAGAGCCCGGCAAGCGTGGCAGGGATGGCTGTATTGTTGTACTTCCCCGCGCACTTAAAAAACTCGCAGTGCATACCAGCTAATAAATAATGAATAAGAAATTATTAATTATAATCATGGGTTAAAAAATTTTTTTTAAATTTTTTCGAAAAAAATTTTAATTATCGATTTTGTTTATTTCAATCAAAAAATATTTATTTTGTATCTGAATAAAAGTGATCATGATTCGAATAGTATTTATTTACAATTAGTATTTATTTCGATGTACAAAACTAATTATAAAAAATTAAGTAATTTAATTACTTAATTATTTAAATTATACCAACGCTTATATTCAATATAATAATTAAATCAATAATTTAAATTCATTGTTGAGAAATTAATTTTATGAATTCTGTGATGAACTTTGGACTGATTTCTTCTTCAGCATATACTTCCATTTCGAAGGCCTATATCCGAAAGAAAATATTTGAATTTGTCAGAGATATACTGGCAGAAGGGACCGACAGGCAAGTTGCGGGTGTACAGTCAAAATTGTGTGTAGACGTAGGCAGTCCTTTTCAGATAATAGCTGCTGCCTAAAAAAAATTGCGATTAACTTAGATGAAATTGTCAACAAGATGGAATCAGACTCAACGGAAACGCGACAGATTCGAGGTTACGAATAAGAGTTGGCTGGATAATCCGATAGCGACCCGCATGATAGCGAAATAGATGTTAGCGACTACGATTTTTAATAATCATGTAAATATGTAATAAAAAGTTTAAATTCCAACATTTAATGCATATTTATTAACCTTAAAGTATTTTAAAGTACCTTAAATTACCTTAAATACAAAGTTTTAGATGAATTCGCGCAATGTATATTTTTTATCCGCCATATTAGATCCGCTATTTTGAATTTTACAATTCCGATGACTAATTCATAATCAGTGTCCTCAAAATACCATATATCCAAATTTTTATTTAAATCTACTAAATTTAACTTTTTTTTTGATCCGCCATCTTGGATCCACCATTTTGAATTTTTAAATTATAATGTCTAATTCGTAATCAATGACGTCAAAATATCATATATCCAAAGTTACATACAAATCCGACAAATTTATCATTTTTGAACCACCATATTGGATTCTCCATTTTGAATTGTGTTTTTTTGACATCATATTCGTAATCAGTGACCCAAAAAACCTATAGGGACACAGTATTGTAGATTTTTGTATTCATTTTATGTCTATGTCCAGGTTTTGAAGCGAGTTAGCCCACTATCCGATGGTTAGACATGGTGGTACGTAATGTGTTTTTTACAATTTTTAAAGTGCTAAATTTACGTTCGTTTGTTGCAACTGAAAACGTAGCGGTATAAATAAGTTGACAAAAAAGAAAACTATCTTTTAAAACATGTTTTTGTTCAATGGCAATTTTCATATGGAAGTAGTCATTTTCTCCATACAAATATCAAAACATACCTCTAGGTTCGCCTTGGATCGGGTTTATTGGAGGGATATAATAATATAGCAGCTTCAATATTTGTATTATCTATAATAGCTGTTTTGGACAATGGGAAAGTAAATAGATTTACAAAAGGTTGTATAATTTTTAGGACTTCAGATAATTTTTTTCCAAAAAAGCGATTAGGACATCTAACACTTGAAAGAATTGGTGCCTATAAAATCCATTAATATCCATGAAAGCGGCATTTTCATTTTGTTGGTCAAACTTTCTGTCTGTGATGCCTATTAAAGTCTTCATCTGCATTGACATGTAATGAAGCAGCAAACATTTTGGAGGCTCCAATTAGATTATTTACTTCATCTTTACTTGATCTTATGGTACTATTAATAATAGAAAATGTATCAATAACATTTAGTTTGGTGGATTCTAGAATTTCGGTAACAACCTTTATCTTTAAAAAAAAGTTTTTAAAAAAATTACAGCAGATAAAATCAAAATTTAAAATACGTTTGAACAGACCATATGCTTTTCCTTTAATATTACTGTCGACATTGATATTTGTAGAAATATTCTCCAAAGTATTTAAAATAAAATGTTAACTGCATTTAAAGTTTCTGCACGAGTAGTCCATCTAGTTTTGGACATATTTTTTAAAGAAAGGGAACTTTCTATTTGTTGTAAACCAGCTTTCAGCGTTTGGTACCTCTCTGTACTTGAATTAAAGAAAACATAAAGTTCCTCTAAAATTTGTCAGTCACTAACCTACTAGCTTTAGAACAATGCTCCACTGCGTTCTGTGTGCTTGGAAAGAAATATATGGGATTTCTCGACCCAGTAAATCTGATTCCCGTTAAATTTTCCGGACATAGCAGAAGCAAAGTCGTATGACTGGAAGGCTAACTTAGACACATCAATATGGTAACTATTTAGGGTATCTAATATTTGTTGGGCTGTACCAGTCCCAGTTTTGTTAACAGCTTCTACAACACGAAGCAATCTTTCTCTGGGTACTCCGTTGTTATCCACAGTTCTTATTACTATAGAAAAAATATCTTTATGAGAAGTATCAGGCGTATGATCTGCCATTATTGTAAAACATTAAGAATTGTTTATCTCATTAACTACTTTTAATTTAATTTATTTTCCTAATAGATCTATAAATTTATTTTGTGACTTTGATTTTAAGTAGGTAACGTGGTAAGGTCGCAAACAAACATACAATCTAACCATTTTTTTAACAAATTGTTATATCTTGCCATGAGTTTTACAATTTGTATAAAATTTTCATCTTCTTCATTGCCCCGAAATGCAATGCCCTGCGTACCTAAAGTCCTAGCTACATCAAATAATATTTTTACAATTTATTAAAATTATCTTCTCTTCTATAAGAATATTGCGCGTTTTTTGTCTAAAATAGCATCAATTCCACTAGATTTCACTAAAAAATTGGAGTAGTCATAAAGAGCAGCTTTATGAGCATTCGAAGTAAAATGCAAGGCTAATTTTCCTAATTTTAAGGAACCACTACTTTTTATTTTGCCCCAGTTTCTGACTCCGTTTTTTATCCACGATGTTTTAATCTTCTCTGCCAGGCCCTGACGGAAACAAGACATACAAAACAGAAAGCAGCGTCTTTTGTAGTGCTATATTTAAGATATTCAAACTTTCATAAATAAGCGAAATAATGCCATGTAATGAAAATTTTAAAAAAGCCAACTTTTCTTTATAACTCGAAAACAAAAGACAATAGCCAATTTTTGAAAATGCCATTTAAGTTTTTTTAAAAAAGGAGATCGAAGATGGGAAGTCCATTTTTCTATACCATTTATAGTTAATGCTATAGCTATTAAAACATCGAAATTTGCCCACCCTGTACATATTGTGATTGTGTACACACAATACTTAAAAATTCTAGTCAGTTAAATTAATATTTTTTTCTTTCGGAGGTGCAAAGAGTGGTATCCTATGTTAAAGGTGTAATATTGCTATTGACAGTATATAGCTACGCAAAATAATAGCAGAAAAATGTTACCTTTTTTTGTATTTTGATTTTCTTAGTCTTTAATTTGTTAACAGCCATTGCATTTATATTTTGATTTATTGCTCTGCCGCCATCAATTTCTTGGTCACTCTGTGCTTCTTCCTCTTCCGAGATATCACTTTGAACTTTATCTTCATCTAAAGCAGGTAAATCTAAAAATAGAACAACTATAAGTACTAACCTTCCACACTTATTTCATTATTACGTTTTCCAACATATTGGTGGACTTCTCCTTGATCAACAGACATTAGAATTCTGCTTATTTTTGTTAGTTCTATTGTGCTTTCATGCATTCGGTAGAACACCCTATGAACTGTAATATCATGTCCCAAATGTCGAGCAAGCCAATCATATTTATTTTATGACATATTGAATAATTGGCAAACTGTAGCTACATATTTTCTTAATTTTGTCTCCGTTATAGCATCAGAGTGTTCTAATCGTATCTCTTCGCAAAATTTTTTGAGACAATCATGGCTCCTTAAAAAACCACTTGATTCATTGAATCTTGCAAATACATATTTATTATGTAATAAAATTTTTCATTCATCTCTGTGTCTTATTAAAGCATTAATACTTTCTTTGATAAGTAAAATTGGAACTTTTCTCCCACGTTTTCCTTCAACTTCCACTAGGGACATATTTTCAGCCAATTTCCTCTCCACAGTAGTGCGTGATTCTCTTATTTCTTTTGTATTTTGTTCTTCCCAAGATGGCCTTGATAAAATTACTTATACATAGAATATACCTTTCACTAAACTTTGTTTTAACTTTAGTTTTGATATATTTGCTAATCTAGTGGCATGTGAATGATAATCATGATTAAAAAATTGATACGATATTTAATTTAATAAAGTACCTAGTTCATTATTCAAAAGTATATTCATACATTTTATTTTTATCTTTGTAATGAGTACACCAAGCTCAAATTGTCTGTTGCAAGTGGGAAGCATTATACAAATTATAATGGAATATTGTAAAAATAAAATTGTACACAAATTAAGTTTATTTATTAAAAAAATTAAAACATTATAGTTTTTTATTTATTTATTGTTCTTTAATTATAATATTTAAGTCCAATAATCTTATTTCCCGTTCATGTTTAGCCTGCGCTCTTGCTTCCTCTTTGTCGTGCTTAGCCTTCGCTCTCGTTTCTTCATTTTTGCAATGAATTATTTGATTTTTTTAATAACTCTTCCCTTAATGTTAGGACACTATCCATTTTCACAGTGTTCTGTGTGCCTACCTTTTTTGGGGGGTTAATAGAGGGTTTTTCTTGTTTTCTAGATCTCTCGGAGACCAAGATTTCCAAGATTTTTTAATCTGAAAAATAGTCAAATTTCCAGATAATGTTTATTCAATCTTAATATTAAAAAATATAGAAATAAAATTACATTTATCCCTGATGTTCCAGCAGAGGTACTGCAATCAGTATTAACGGAGTCACTTTTGTTCTCTATGTTCGCCGCTGACACATCTGGGGGTCGATTCTCGACTAGTAGGAACTTTTTCCTATAGGAATTTGTGACACTTTCCTATATGTAGGGAAATGTCATAAATTTTCGATGTATATAAAAATGTCAAAAATTCCTATAGGAAAATATTCCTACGAGTCGAGAATCGACCCCCTGAAGTGATCCCAGTTGTCTCGTCTAGAAAAATCTAAAAGTAAATGTTATGGTTAGTATTGCAGAATAAAATTTAAGCAAATGTGTATTATACACTATACAGTTTTGATTGATCAAATTATTTTATATATAAAAAATCATAAATATTACAATGACTTACTATGGGTAAGTTATAGTTTTCCAGCTCATGCTCAGTTATAGCTGGGACCCATGGATCTTCTTTATTTGTTTCCTATATCATAATCTCACCAGTGATTGCTAAAAACCATTTTTATAAATAACTTCCTTAAAACGCTTTTGGAAATATATATAGGTATATGTATATTTACAATTTATTATTAAAAAAATAATTCAATTATGCTGATTTGCTAAATTTAATCAAATACTATCATGTATTATTCAAAAACAAGGCTTTAAAAGTTATACCAAACTTTACAAGAATACATATTAAATTAAACTTACTCGTTTTAGGCAGAACCCTGATGGTAGGCCAGAGATCGAAAGGCTCAATCCTTTTCTGGACCTTTTATTGAAATATATTCCAGTTTCCCTCCACCAGTTTTTTAATGTTTCGGCCTTATTTTTATTAACCTTTTTTTTTAAATCTTTTTTCAGGCCATCGTACTCTCAGTATTTCCACTGACCTAGTATTTGTCCCTAAAACAGTTCATTTGAAATAAAATTGATTTAGGTAATATTATATACACCAGTACCTGAATTAGAATTGAACAGTTCAGATATTTCAATCCATGTTGCCTCATTCAACTTCCATGTATCAGAATCAGTGGTTTTGTTCTCTAAGACATGTTTTTTTTTAAAGCCAGCTTTATTAATAGTCTAGTCTCACCTAGGGAAAATTAAAAACTATGAATAAATCACTATATATTAATAAAAACTCACTAAATACTAATAAAATGTCACTAAGCACTAATAAAAAGTCTCTAAACACTAACAAACAGTAAACAACTTCACTTTTTTCTGAGGAATCACAGCATGCGAATTTTCCGCTCGAATTTTCGGTTTTCACACGTTCTGCACAACTTTGGTGATAACTCGCCTTACACTTGTAACAATCCACGCTGTCTACCACCTTTTTTTTACAATAATTACTAGACCTAGGAATATACACCCAAAAAGTAGTTAAATATGCGCATATATATGCCGCAAGATACTTCAATATATGCGTAAAAAATTGAAAAATATGCAGAGCATATGCAATAAGAGTAATTTGTTATTTGATCGAAATAGTTTATTAATATTTATTATTTGTTTTATTTTACAATATCTAATATAATACTTAATAATTATTTAATTATTAACTAATTTTATTTACAAATCAACATTATTATAAAACGAATGAACAATTAGATGTTTTTCTAAATTATCTGTATTAAATGATTGTCTCCTATCAGTATGTACTTAAAAACCCCTTTCGACATCTACAGAAGTAATAGGTGCAAACTTATATTTTCCTAAAATATTTGGATGAATAGTATTAATATCTTCAAAGTTACCAGAATAAATATTAGCAAGGTTTCTTAAAACAATAAATCCTTCATTTTTTAAAATTACATTTAAAAATTTATGAAAAATCGTCTTTCCAATATCGCCCTGGACATTTTTACACTCTGATTAAATTTACGGAAGTCACCAAAGGTAAATTTTTTTGTTCTAAATCTAATATAATTTTGGGTACAAATGCATAATTTTTTAAAAACACTAATTGCTTTGGTAATATGTTATTTTGAAACAACTTCTTTGTATTAGATATTACCTTAGATGAATCATCAAAATCAAATATGATTTCTTTAATTTTTTCATAATTATCTACGTAAAAAAAGGCAGCTTTAAGCCAGGTACCCCACCGAGTAATCACAGGTTCCGGTGGCATCTGTAATTCAGGAAATTTTTCTTTGTACAATTGAGTTCTTAGAGGAGCTTTAAGAAATATTTTTTTACATTACTAATTAAATAATTTATTAAAGGAAAGTTAGACCTAATTTCTTCTGCAACTCTGTTAAGGCCATGAGCCAAACATGTAACATGGATTAAGTTTTCATAAAACATTTTTAAATTTTGTGCGGCTTTTACCATGTACGGGGCAGCATCGGATAACAGCATTAAACATTTTTCTGTTGGAACGGCTTCCGGAAGAAAAAAGGAAGACACTTACGTCTGGATAAAACGAGTTATTGTCAAGTTATTTGTTTTATCTAATTGCTTTGAAGCGATTAGATATGGACCAATTTGCATTTCTTCGCCTAATGAACCTATCATTAAATGGGTTATATATCGACCACAAGAGTCTGTTGTTTCATCCACAATAATGTAGAAACGGTTTCCAACGGTAATCTCACGAATTTTTTCACGAGTCTCAATGTACAAACTGTCAACACCACGTTTGCGTAATATACTTTGCTCTGGAATATTAAATTTACCGTATTTTTGCAAAAATAATCGGAGATTTGGATTATTTAATCGTATTAAAGGGATATTCGAAGTCACTGAAGCTTTGCATAAATCTTCATTAAAAATAGCTTGTTCACTTCTAGACGATCCAGATTCTAAATATTGTTTCAAGGGAAGTTGACTTTGTCTGCGAGTGTCTTTAGATTTCTGCCTTGCTATATGTGAGGGTGTTTTCGCGTGTTGGTCGATTTGAAACTTTTTTTTACATGGAATCTAAAACAAATAAATTCTGTAGATATTGAAGTTTTAATTAAATTAAATAAATGCGTACGTTGTAAAGTTGCCCTACTTTTTTTAAACTGTGAGTTGAAATAATATTTTACTGTCTTTGATTTACCATTGTGAAAAGTCAAAATAAAATATAAAATAAAAAAGCACTTACAATTTTAGAACATGTTTTACAAAACACCTGGTTATCACCTTCTACAACAAAATCTGAATAAGATTTTACCCACGACTCAATTAATTTTGCCATTTTTCCACTGGTTAACACAACACAACAATAAAGACTGAAATGAAGTAAACTGAGTCATTTAGAAATTTGAAGATATTAATACAACTACCTGAAAGGATATTTAGCAAAATTTGTTGGTTTAAGGAGGGTGTTTATAATTTAATCCTCTCAAGTACCTACACCATTAACCGTAATTTATTACAGGGAAAATTTAATCCTTCAAAATTTTAGGAAATCGACCTGTAAAGGCATTTCACAAAATAATATTTTTTTTGGTCCAAAACTCATAATTTTAATATGTCCAGCCAATTAGTACGTCAGATATATGCCAAAAAAATTAACAAAATGTCAATATATGCATTCAGAATCAAAAATTGTATATATATATATATATATATATATATATATATATATATATATATATATATATATATTATAATGAAACACGGAATCCCAAGAATATCAAGTTAATGATAAAAAGTCTTCAAAGAAATAAATTTAAAAAAGTTTCATCTAAGTATTTAGACTACACCCTGTATAGTGATAAATTTGACAAGATCAAAAGTAACTAAATGTAGTGAGACAATGTTACCACACGAAAATTATAATTTTTAAAATGTAAATTTGTAAAAAAAATTACAACACGGATTTCAAAATAACCTATTAATTAATGAACGATAAATTATCATCGAAATTATGAAATAAGCAGTTTAAATAAACTCACCTTTAAAAATCCAATAAT